TTCAGGAGTATTCTTTGCCTTCTTACCACGAAGGCAAAAGTAATGTCATCAAGAACGTCTTCCAGCCGAAGAAGGGCGACTCCGATTGGAAGAGCTCCGCCAGTGAAGCTCTCGGGGTGTATCCAATCCTCAGGGACATCATCCACCGCATCAGGGAGACAACAGAGCTGTCGGCGGACTGTTTGGGTGCCATTAGCTCGTTCCTTTTACTCTGCCAGTGCCTGGACCTCCTGCAAGGCACCTTGCATGGGGATGTGGCGCCATCAGATCTCAGAACGGCTGTGGAGGCACACTTGGCGAAGTATCAGGAAGTGTATCCTGGAGAAACTTTTCTTCCGAAAGGGCACATGGCCATGCACCTCGCAGGCCAACTCTCGCATCACAGGATCCTCATTTCTTGCCTGACACACGAACGGCGACACAAAGAGCTGAAGCGCTACGCAAACAACCAGAACTGTGCCCGTGCAGGCACTGAAAAAGGCCTCTTGCGAGAGATGGAACTCACCCATCTCGAGGCACTGGACCGCCTTTCGCTCAGCTTCAGGACGGAGTTGCAGACGCCCGTGACCGCACCGGAGCCACTGCAGCGGGCTTTTGCAAACCACTTTGAGCTTCGTGGGGCCAGTGGACTGCTCTTCAGCTCAAAGGCTAAGGTGCCCCGATGCCCTCTCGTGTCCACTGGGGACATTGTCCTCCTGGACGAGCCTGTAGCCGTAGCTGAGGTGCTTTATCACTGCCAATTGCAAGACTATCTGTTCACTTGTGTAAGTTTTTACGAGAAGGTTGCTGATACCCCCAACAAGTTCAGAATTGTCGAAGACAATGCTTCCTTCGTTAGTCCGGCCTCCATTCGTGGGCCCTGCATCACTCGCAGCACTGCTGATCGATTCATTTTTGTAGTGCCCCAGCACTTTGCCACTCGCTAACAACATCCGGAAATAGAGAGTGCACTGAACCTCGGTCTGGCCTTTTCAGTTGTACTTAGGCTTTGGTGTGTATATACCTTATCGGGTTTAGGATTTGAACTGTAGGTTTTGTGTAGAAATTCTTCGTATGTGTATCAACCGAATATAGTAACAATAAGGCTTCAACGAAGCCTCGTGCAATCTGGAAAAACCCAAATGTCAAAACAGGCCCTCACACCTCAGAAGGACCATTAACAAATGACGCATTGACCACCTCCCCATTTGCAGGCAGCCGCAGGCGGCCCGGTGCAGGTGCAGACGGAAGTTCATGGTTTTTGCAGGGTTGTAGGTATGTTTTTTTACATAATTTTCTACATGATCTGGGCTTCCGCTCGAGTTTTCAAACTTTTTCCGGATGCCTTGGTGCACCAAAAATATTGTAAATCTGCTTACTTATAGACCACTTAGTATGTGCCCTAAGTCCACTTAGCCTATATAGCTTTAAGTGCCCTAACTGGGTTGCCTATGTAGCCTAAGCGGGCCCTAACCTACTTAGTAAGTGCACGGGAACATCCCAAAACCAAGTCCACTTACCTGACATAGCCTTAAGTCGTCCATCTACTTGGAAGTCGATGGTATGTGATTATTACATGGCCTATTCGATTATAACCGCCCCGACTTTCCAAGTAGGGGACGAAACGGAAGAACATGTTGTACCCGCTGTAACTCACAAGCTGCTCCTGTTGAAACAACAGTTGATACGCCATCTCGCCGTTGGACTTAGCAACGCAGCGCTGCATGCCGAAAGCCAGACGGCGCAAGATGCTCAACGCACGAGCTTGTGTGACTTGAGACCGCACAGCAGGCTCGGCTGGCTCGGCCTCCGCAGCATCACCTTGCTCTTGACGCCGACGTTCGGTTTCTTCCCACTCCAAGCGTTGAATTCCAGCAAAGAGTTCGGGCAGCAGTGATCGGGTAACCTCGAACTTCTTCGCGGCATACTCGCCAGTGTAAAATTGGACATCCTTCCATCGGCAAAGGCTTCGACACGATGTGAGGAAACATTTCTATCGCATTACCCGCTCACTCTTATACTAATAAGTAGAAAGCGACCGTCCTGCATATCTCGAAACATGTCAACGAGTAGATGCTGTAAGCAGGTATCCAGTAACTCGTGCTCCCCGTCGGCATGCAGTGTATCCAGATCATACTCGCAAAGACATCGTCCGAGATACTTCACATCCACGTTGCATCTCATGCAAACCTGTGCCGTGGGATTCGACATGCCCTCGGCGGGGTGATCTCTCTGAGGCTGGAAAACGTGCGGGGACTCGTTTTTCGCTGCTTCTTGCTGTGGCAATGCATCGTGGTCACGAGGGAGAGCAGCGAACCCGGCTTGGGGAACTCGAGGCCAGCCCTTGTAGCATTAGAGACGCACCTTCTCCTCGCCCTCGTCATTCCTCTCAGTCATCAGTTCCAAGCGAAAGCAGCCGAATCGACATCCACGCTTGCCCTTGGCAGACTTCCTGAGCTGCTACCGACACCTACACTACACGTGCTACATTGCAAACACGCACACACACACACACACACACGCACACCATAACAAACAAAAGAAACCGCACACACAAACACACGCACACACACACACACACACGCACACGCACACACACACACACCCACACGCACACACACACACACACACACACACCCACACCCACACCCACACCCACACCCACACCCACACCCACACCCACCCACCCACCCACACACACACACACACACACACACACCCACACGCACACGCACACGCACACGCACACACACACACACACACACACACACACACACACACACACACACACACACGCACACGCACACGCACACGCACGCGTGCGGACAGGAAACTTCTTGAAACAAGACTTCGTGCACTTGTGAAAGTGATTTTGAATGACCAGACGCCGATAGTCCTTGCACAGCTGCTGCGACCACTCGGAACCAGACAGTGCATCTTCGTTGCGGCAGCGGCGAAGATATGCCGGTCTAAGCGAATTATAGCAGCCCGTCAATCGCAAAGGTGCCTGGTCGGTACTCTCCGTGGCCGCAAGCTCATGCCCGTCCGACTCCTTGTCTCCCAAAGGAGCCCCCGCATACTGATTGCCCGCAGACGCACGCCTTTAGCTCGCCAAGAGGCAGGGGCGCGGCTTCGACGGACAGCTGGGCAACTGGCTGTCATATCGAATGCGGCTTGCGGCCTGCAAAACTTTCTCGCGCCAACGTTGGAGCTCGGTCACGACCTCACCTCGCGCAGCCCTGGCCATCATGGAGCGCAAACGACTGCCCAGGTCGTGGCCCAACAGAACGATCAAGATGTGGGGATGCATCGAGCCTCGTCCTTGAGTCTCCAGAGGGCCGCAGAAAGTGGCAATGTCACCGAAGCAACCTGGGAAAGCCGATGCCGCGAAACCATCTTCGTAGAGCTGAGCCTTTCCTGCACGAAAACTCGCTCGAGTAAAGGGTGGCAACGTTCCCAGCACCTCTTCAACAAAAAACAAACTCGTCATGAGATCGAAAAACCTCGCCTGCGACACGGGATCGGCTGCCAGCATACGCCGCATGGCGGCCAGGGACGGCAGCGAGGGCTCTTCCAAGTCCCATCGCAGATCGACGTCGAAGTCTTCGACCTTCCCTTCCGCGGCCTGAAGGTGCAGCTGCAGCAGCAAAGAAGCACGGGAATCCGCCAAATTCGGCGTCACGAAGACGTGGGAAGTCCCGTAGTGCCAACCAGCCGCATGGCCTCGAAGTCGAATTTGACTGCGGTGTCCTTCCGTGCCCAAGACATTCGCGCTCGCCTGCAGCACGCTGCCAAGCGCGCGCTTCAACGACACGTCAACATCCGGCGACCGCAGTAACTCGCGAATGTCGGCCTTCTCGCCGTGCAGGGCCATGGCCTGCAGCAGCTGTTCCGTGGTCACCGACGCGATCTTAGCACAGTGTCGACTGAAACCACTCCGCTTCACGTATGCTTTCGATGTCCGCATGAGAGAAAGTCTGCGGTTCACATCGTACATGACAGGCAAGAGCTGCTCCTGCTGCGAGCCCATTCACTTTCACAAATCCGCCAGCTTTCGCAAGACAGCGTCCACCGGCGGAATTATTTAATGTCGATTCTTAACTCCGAACCCGGTCTTGAATGTAACACTGCCAGGACACGGACATACTACTTTCACAAATCCGCCAGCTTTCGCAAGACAGCATCCACCGGCGGAATTATTTAATGTCGATTCTTAACTCCGAACCCGGTCTTGAATGTAACACTGCCAGGACACGGACATACTACTTTCACAAATATATATATATATATATATATATATATATATATATATACATATATACATACCTATACAACCCTGCGGCCGTAATTTCGGCCACTTCCTGAAGCGGCTGAAATTTCAGCAACTGATAAACATAACAGCAACATAAAAGCAAAACGGCAACAGAAAAGACAAAGTAGCCGCACACTGGTTGGGCTTGAACTGATCTGGGGTGTTAAGGTTGCTTTCAGGTGATAATTTGTCGGGACCTATTATGCTTTACTATTGAATATTTCCTTGGCATCGAAAACGAAATCACCATGAGCCATCAACATGTATAATATCATCTTCACTTACACCATCATGGCCACCAACATGAACATCAGCATCATCTTTGGCATAACCTTGATGGGTCTTCGATACTGCTAGGGTGGATTTAGAACTTAGGGGTGTAAGGTTTAGGGCAGGCTTCAGAGTGTGCAGGTTCAGAGTCTCTGGGTTGTGCATAGTTAAGAAGATGTTCGATTCGGGCGGGGTGGAAGTAGGACTTAGGGGTGTAAGGTTTAGGCTTCGGAGCCAAAGTCAAGAGGGTGTTCGATACTGGTGGGGTGGATGTAAGACTTAAGGGTGAAGGGATTAGGGAAGGCCTGGGAATCTCGGGGTTTAGGACTTGTAAGCAAGGTTATTGAGGTGCTTCTGAAATCACTTTGGCTCGTGGAACTCCTTCAAAATCCAAACTCGAACACTGAAGCTCTGAAGCCACACCCCCGCCTTTAAGAAATTAAGCAAGCCCAAGCTGGTTCTGCAATGGCACCATTGCTCGATTGGCTTGGAAGTCGCCCCTGGGATTTACAGTATTTCTAAAGGGTCAGAAAGGCAAGGGGAGAGGAGAGCAACCAGAAGCCCAACCCACTTTTGCTCACAGACCCTTCTTGCTTCGTTCCTGTCTGTGTCGACGAATAACAGCCGATTTCTTGAGAAAGTGCCTTTGAATAACTCGGCGAGTCAGAGTGCGGACAGATACTTTCAATGTCAATGAACATACCTTTCCGATGGCATCCTCGTTCATCTCATTGCCCCAGCATATCGGATTTAAAACCAGCGGTGTAGAAGTCTTGAGTGCCTTCTTCAAATCATAGGCTAAATGATGAAGCCCATGAAACTTCGGCTTTAACCCATAAAATGTGAGGTCCATGGTGAGGCAACGAGCCGCCAAAGTTTGATACCCTGATAACATACTCATCAAGTGAACATAAAGGCTTTGACCGCACTTCCGTGCCAACCAGAGGCCGTGGGTATACATTATGTGCATAGCTTGCTGTGCATGCATAATGGTCTTGTTGAGCAATACAAGAAGACGTCGATGTGGATCGTGCAGAGTCCTGGTAGCCACAAGCAAGCCTGCATACCAACGGATGTATCGCATAAAAACCATCGTATCGGAGCCCTTGACATTTGCCCAAGCGTAGTCGCTCTGCCTCTTGATGTTGAACAGGGCCGGGGAAAAGTACTTGCAAGCCACCGTCTGCTTCGCTGTCACCCGCCAAAGCATAAAATGTTTCCAGGCACGGTTCAGTCGCTGCTTGAGTTCCGTAGATTCCCCCGGCGAAAAGTCGTAAAAGCCCAAGCGTGCAAACAGAACCATTGTCCCAACAAGATCCCTTCCAAGTCCAACTTTAAACAGATGAAAGGCATCCAATTTGAGGGCAGCCTCTGGCTTGGCAGAGTCGAATGGTATGGAGCAAAACACTGGCGGCTCGTCCCAGGGTCTCGAAGCAAACTCAGAGCCAGCCCAAGCTGGATCGTGGGTTGCCTGGTCCCATGGCAAGTCCGGCCTGGTGCCGGCCAGGCAATGGGAACACATCCCCAAATAATTCACTTTCCCCAGATGGGAATAAGAACGCGTCAGCTCGCCATATTTCTCGGCCATGTGCTTGAAATCGCCTTTCAGGCCAGTCAGGATTGCAAAGTACCTTTTGCCGGCGATCATTGCTCCCTGTGTAAACAGCTTGGACATATCTTCGGCCACGAGCTCCATCATTTTCTGTAGCACCGAATCATGATGCTTGTATACCCAATCTGGCAGCCCAAACAGATAATGCCTTGTCAAGAAGGAAGCCCCTTGAAGATTCGTAGTTTGCTTTGCAGCCTCTTTGGCGGCATCGCACATTTCGGTCACGGTATCACAGCCAGGCACGAACTGAGACGGCGTGTGCGACACGTGTGAAGAGCAAGAACAAGCGAAGTCTTCTGGCATCTCTGACAAACCAATTGGTGATTCCATACATGTCATCAAGTAATTGCCCCTCTTGGGGCCTTTCCCTTCATCTGAAAACAGGCACAGGGGAATAGCAGTAGCAGGAGTGATATGCTCTGCACTGAAGATGGCGTGCTCGGGGTGGTGGTTCTGATACATCTTCCAGAAAGCTTCGAGTTGAACCTCTAGTGTGTTCCGCCCACCAGCCAGCAAGCAAGGCATTTGCCGAACGAGGTATCGTAGCCAGCTGGACACCAGCACATATGATGTAGAAATGATTTCTTCATTCTCTACACAGTGGTCGTGGGTCTGTATCGGTACTGGCAAAGATAGACCCATTCTGTTGAACTTAGCATGGCAATCCCGTTCAGCATTGCTCACTTCTCGTTTTTCGCTCTCCGGCAGACCAGGGTTCGCCATCTCCTTGAGACACCTTTTCGTGTCTATCGCTGTGGCCTGGGCGGGCTGGAACTTGTCCCGAAAAGAGAGAGAGGGAGAGAGAGAGAGAGAGAGAGAGAGAGAGAGAGACAGAGAGAGAGAGAGAGAGAGAGAGAGAGAGAGAGAGAGAGAGAGAGAGAGAGAGAGAGAGAGTGAGAGAGAGTGAGAGAGAGTGAGCGGGGTCTTCTGATTTCTCAGGGTTCGGTGTTTGCTTTCAAGGGGTGTCTTCTACGGATGCCTTCCCAGATTGTTTGGGGCAGCAGAATACCGTTTCATATTGCTGTCGGCAGAGATTCGGAGAACTGGGTTGTTGCCCGAGTCCTGATAATAGACCCAAGCCCCCAAGCAAAAGATTCTCAGTCAGCCAATCCTTTGTGTTTTAAAGGTATTCAATAGTCGCTTAGTCTTGGCTAGGGTTTGCGACTAGCGGGACAGGGTACTCCTTTCAATCGAACCTCAAGTGCTGCTTTCGTAGCGAACAGGGCCGAGCCCAATCCCAGACCCGATTACAGTCCTAAATGCATTTCGCACCGAGGAGCATCTCTGCATACAGCTGCACCCGGCCGTCGTGGCCCGGCTCATCCTCTGAAGAACCTGGCTTGATAGGGAGGTATGCTGGCTTTGGGTACGAGGGCTTTGAGCAAAGGGCTGGGAAGTGAACGGGTTTGTGAAAAGAGGAGTAGTCTAGCACTAGATCAATAGAAGCAAATGCGTTGGTGTTTTGTGATTTTTTGACTGCAGAAAGCTCGCGAACCTCAGCCCCCCTAAACCCTAAAACCTAAAACCCTTAACCGTAAACCCTGAACCCCGAACCCTAGTTTTCTGGGCTTCGGGAAGGTTTTGTTGAAGGCTTTGCTCAGGTTGGCTATTCAGTCAAAGCTTCACTTAGGGTTTAGGGTGTAGGGCACGGCGTGAATCTTAAGCACAAAAGCACTTAAAAACCTATGCAACCCAAGCCTCAAATTCGAGCCTGCACCACGAAACACTTGGCCCAAGACCCTACACAAAAACAAACCCACACACACACACACACCTAAAACATAAACCCTTAAACCCTAAACCCTCTGCCCCCAGTGTGCACAGAGACAACAGTTTGGCACGATCGCAGGCCGGCGATCCAGCACGGTGCAGCAGCTATTCCAAGCCACTTTGTAAAATCATACCCACACAGCCCAGCAGCTCCGATATTACTTAGGTTAGCACGGTTGGGATCGATACTGCGACTGGGGTGTGCATCTGGCTGCATGCAGCTAGCCTTTACTTCTTGGCCCTTTTGGCCGGCTTTTGCTGCTCCTCGTCATCCTCCTCTTCCTGCTTTGCTGCCTTCGCCTTTGCACCCTGCTTACTTTTAGGCTTGGCTTTCACTTTCGGCGCTTCAGCCTTTTCCATCTTTGCGGCAGGCAACCTTGGTGCAGTATGTGCAATGCAGAATTCGAGAATAACAGCAGGCATGCACCACAACACATGCACGAAGCCAGTAAGGCATGCAGCTTGTAGGACTTCGAGCGATCGAACAGCAACTCTGCCTCCACGGCCCTCGGTATTGTTAACCCCCACAAAAAGTAAAGTAGTCAAGCTGCAATACCTACGGTGATTTGCGAACCGAGTTGCACCCTCTTCGCTTCCTGGAAAAACGTGCGGAGGCTCTTCTGGTCCCTGGGCAAGATTTGCGGGCTGATTCTAGGGTTGCCGATAAGGTTTTGAGCATCATACCCCGAGAGTACGATGTATCGATCTATCTACGATTTGTCTATGTGTAACATAATATTAGAACTCTACAGTGTTTTACTTCCCAGACAGCCAATCAACCTACCTACCTACATAGTCTATGTATGCAACTATCTATGCATCGATCTATCCCACCCAAATCTACAGGACAGTATTCCCTGTCGAGGCTCACTTTTGTGAACCCAGCAGCCACACCCTGGCTGTAGAGGGCCATCATCTTATCGTCCAACTCGTTCACCCTGGTGATCATGCTCTCGAGGCTGGCTTTATACCTCAGCTAGGAGGAGGCTTTGTGTTAGGAAGACGTAGAATTGGAACTCGGTTGACCCGTAGCGAGCGAATTATTAGCCAAGGATCTTTTGGTGGGCCTTGTTGGCATCTTTGATCTCCCCCAACTTTAGCACGATCGGCTCGATTCGCATAACCCGTTTTTGAAGGCAGGCAGACACTAGGGAGCAACAGTCCTGAGGTTTCTTCGTCAGCTCCGGGAAGCTGATTTTTTTGAGCACCCGGGCGGCCTCTTCTCCGTCGTCGCTGCTGTCATCGGAGCTTTTCTCCCCATCACCTGGCTGCACTTGATCGGGGGCTTACAGGGTTGCAGCTTTAGGGTTTAGGGTTATCATTTTGGGGTTTAGGGTTGATGGCACGAAGGCTTTTGGGATGCTTGCTGTCTTCCCAGAGCTCTATGGTTTCAGGGTTTAAGGGGTCATAGCTTCATAGGGTTTAGGGTTACGGTTTTGGGGTTTAGGGTTTATGATACGAAGGCCTTTGCATGCTTGTTGTTTCCTAGAACTTTATGGTTTCAGCGTTTGTAGGGATACGGCCTTAGGGTTCACGGTTATGGTTTTGGGTTCATGGTACGAAAACCTTTGGGATGCCTGCGTTTTTTCCCGGAGCTTTATGGGTTTAGGGTTTGTAGGGTTATAGCTTTAAGGTTCAGGGTTGTGGTTTGGGGTTTTGGATTAATGCAGGGTACGAAGGTCTTTGAAGTGCTTGCTGCCTCGCCTTGCATGCTGCAGGCTCTCAGGGCCACATACTTATTAGTTTACAGCTTAAAGCTTTTAGGGTGGTTTAGGGTGTTAGGGGTTGTGGCTGTTAGGGTTGAGCTGCTCGGTGAAGCAGCAGCTGAACACACGGCTTCATTGCTTGGTACTGCCAACCTTGAATCCTGGCCCACCCCAAAACTAAACCTAGTGATTGGGGATATATTATATATAGGTATACCACTTGACCCAGACTGCAACCCCGTACAGAAGTGCACCTGAGACCCTGCCCCAAAGCTCACCATCAGACCTGTGTCGAATTCAGGTTTTGGGCTTTCGGTTTACCAGTCACACATGCAAATCGCGAGACACTATGGCTCCTGATGTTTTGGTTTCGCACACGTCCCAAAAAAAGGTGCTTCAGCTAAGCGAGGCTTAAGCTTTCGAGGTTTTGGGGCTTCGGGTTTACCGTCTACGGGTTCAGGGCTTATAGGGGCTTGGGGGTTTAATCGCACATGCATAATATGGCCTTCCTCCTTGGCGGCCTCCCCATCTCCCTCCAAGGCAAAGGGGAAATCCTGCATGGCTTCGTCTGGGTCCTCCATCGGCTCGTTGTCGCCGCCTTCCAGGATCTCGGCGACGGTGTTGCGTTTGGTCTTCCTGGGCGGGGGTTTGGATTTTCGGACGAACACAGTAGCAACGAAAGTGTGCTGCAAAACATACTTTATAGCCACGGAACTTGTTCGACCCCTTTACCTTCACGGCCACCCAGTACATCCATTCGTCACAGTACTCGGACTTCCTTTTGACAAGGTCAGCACACATATGCGACACGACATGCATATCATGCGGAACAAGCTAGCATCTCCTCTTGTAGCCAGGACGTCGCTCACAGCTTTTCTTGGCCCCTTTGATCTTTTTCCTCGTCTGAAGACATGGGCTGACATTAGAAGTAATTTCAAAACACAATGAACTCAGCATGGCAACCTGAAGCCTCCAAATAGTTAAATAGTCTCAGCGACTCAGACCAGCCTTTATCCTCCATCTCCTGTTCAGCCAAGAACTCGTATTCGGTTTCCACCGACTTCTCATTGATCTCTTCGTACTTCCGATTCACTCGCTTCGTGAACAGGACCGGGCTAAAGAAGTTAGACCCACCCGAACAAACAGTCTACATTGATCGATCTCCTAAGCGAGCCAGCTGTGCGGGGTCACATCCACATTTCTCGAATGCCCGATACACTTCATCCCGTGTCTCAAGATTCTTGTGGGTGTTGATGATCTCCATCGGCACTTTGTAGGTTCCGTCAGCTTTCGGGGTGCATATGCGAGCCAACCTTTTCATCAGAGTCGCCTTGGTGACTTGCATGGGTGGCGGGGTGGCCTTTGCTGGCTCCTCATATTCTTCTTCATCTGGGTTTGGCCTGGCTTTCTTGTCGGATGGGCCTCGCTTGTTTGCGGGGTCCTTGGTTTCCTTGGGTTGCTGCTGCGGCTGCTCCGGGTGCTTTGCTTTGCTCGGCATTTGCGGGGCACGGGCTGGGGGCTCTTGCTGGTCCTTGGTTTTGTCGGGTTGCTGATGCTGCTGCGGCTGCTCTGCTTTGCTGGGCATCTGCGGGGCCTTGGAAGGGGCCATCTTGGGGCTTGGGGTAACAGCCTGGGTGTCTAGGAGTTCTGAGCCTTCAAGTGGTGCATGCTTCGTGCTTGGGGTTATCTTGGGGCTTGGGGTAGCAGCCTGGGTGTCTTGGATTCCTGAGCCTGGTGCATGCTTCGTGCTCGCGGTTCCAGGTGAACCAACGGATTGGCTGGCAGGGGGTTCCGGCGAGCCTGTTTGCGAACCTGTTTGTGAGGAATGCCATGATGCCCGGGACCGAAAACTTGGCTCTTCCTGTTTTCTGCAACAGCAGAGTGCCTAGACACGTAAACATGAAAGTCATCAGCAAGTTTGCTGCCCGAACAAACAGCTCCTCCTTGGGCTCCACCCGGCAAGCTTGAGTTGCTCCTCAGAAAGAGCTTTGTAGATCGCAAACTAGAGAAACAAATTATTCCGTCAGGTCACCATCACAGCTGCTCGTTTAGCTATGAGATCCGAGCATTCGGGATCAGCCTCCATGGCTCTGCCAGGAGGACTTCTGGTGTGGCTGGAGCCCAAAACAATCCTGGAGTCGGCGATCAGAAAGTGCATCTGAGAGCAGCTGGGCTGCTTTGGGGCCGTCCCGCGTAATCCCGCTACAATCCCGCGTATTCCCGCTACAATCCCGCGTATTCCCGCCGCCGGTTTGTCAGCCCAAACTCAAGCAAAACCCCTAATTTCGCGATAAATGCTTGCAAAAGTGATTGGAACCTGAAGAAAAGCTCTATGGGATTGCAAAAGCCTGCTTGCACCTCACTTGGTAAGACCCCAGGACCTTCGGTTGCTATTCGGGCTGCCCACCCTCTCAAGTTTATGCAAATCATGAAGAAGAGGCCTCAGAAATAGCCGGTTAGACAAAAGGGTTTAGGGTTTAGGCTATATAATATATATTAAGTGGTAGTAGCTCCACTTAGCCAGGCCAGATGTGTTTTGGTATTTTACTTAAACAACAGAAAAAAGAGTGGCTCCAATTTTGTCTCAAACTCGGCTTGAGACAAAATTGGAGCCCCTCTTTTTTCTGTTGTTTGTAAAATAGTATATATCTTTATGTCGCTTAGGGAGACAGAGGTAGGGCTTCACAGCACAAGCGGGGAGATTACGTATCATTTCAACGGGTGCCTCCTAGATCCCAGGAAACACCCATTATTTTGGGAAGAGAGCGAATGGGCCAGACCCCAAAACATGAACCCTGCAACACCAGCCAGAAAGTTGCCCACCCCAATCCATAACCACAGCAAGCCCTCTAAACCCCAGACTGGCAGAGGATGGTGCCTCTCCTCGGCATCGTCGACGTGGCAGTAGGGTACTAGTTGTGAAAGAGTACCACTGGAATTCTGGTCTGGCGAACAATTCCTTAAATCATAGAAACATAAACGGGTGCAGCTAGCAACACAAGTAATAGTACCAGCAGGAGTAGCAGCCGTAAGAAGCAGCAAAAGCAGTATCAGCATCAGCAGCGGCAGCAGGAGTAGAAGTAGGAGTGGGGGTGGTAGTATTAGTGTTAGTAGCAGCAGCAGCAGAAGTACCACTACTGTAATTAGGGCTACGGGTTTAGGGATTAGGGTTAGGGGCTCGAATCAAAGCACAGGGCCATGTCGCTAGCGATTGTTTTGTTATTTTTATGAAGGCAACCTCACTCAGCCTTGAAGTGCAAGGATCCCCACGACGACTCAAACCACAGTCGGCTATCGTAAATAACACAAACAAAGGAGAAGCCAGGCAACCCGACAACCCTATGCCCTAATCTAAGAGTAACCGAAATCCAGCAACAGAATCGAGGCAGCTCCACTTACTTCGGCGAGGCCGTGCTGCAGATAGCCGTGGAAGGTCGGCGGCATCGTACCTGTGGATCCCCGGCGGGCAAAGCTTTATTTTGAGAGAGCAAGCGTGAGAACCACTGGTTGTCATGAGCACACAGCAGCAAGCATCAACAATGATTTGTCAGTCGTCTTCCTGTGTGACATCTGCACTCTGTGCCACGATCATGCTTCCTCTATGAGGCAGTGTGTTGCACCCACAATTGCAAGATGTTGTCGGGACATACATGCACTCTTTCACTTGAAACTGTCCGACCAAGCTCACACTCGTCCCCTCGGAAGCTAACTCGTGGTGTCTAAAGAGAGCAGGCATCAGAACTCGCGAACAAAAGCCCAAGCCATAGGCGACTCAGGATCTTTCAAAAGCCCAAGCCATAGGCGACTCAGGATCTTTCAGGACTGCTCGTACGGCAGCTCAGCAACCACAGCCTCGGGCGGGTGGGGTGTAGTTGATTTCTAGATATGCCACAGCACCAGCACAACCACGACCTGTTCAATGCAACCGAAGGACCCTTCGGCCGTGCCAGACATTGTCACCGTCTCCAAAGATATCCTGGGCGGAGGAGCAGTTGTGCTTAATTGCTGTCTCACCGAAGGGACAGTGCTCTCGTTTCAGTCGGGGCACTTCTGTGGTCAGCACAGAACCGTGCCAAAGCACGATCAGTGTCAAAGTGAATGAGGATAACCTGAGTGGAGCTACTGATTAAATAGTCGCCATCGTGTTTTGTGGGGTGCCCGAATGAGTGTAGGGACTTCTGTTGCCAAGACACTTCGGCCAGGACGATGCGTGCATGCTTCTTGGCATACTCAGACAAGATAGCCTCATGGAGAGACTCGTAGGGTAAGGCTTATAGATAGGGTTTAGGGTTCAGGGCTTAGGGATGTGGGTTTAGGGTTTAGGGTTGCGTGACAATTGTAGTCGGGGCTCCCTGGTTTCCAGGGTCTTCCAGCCATTCCATAGCACAGGCATGGGCGATGGAAGTGTAGTTGTCAAGCTCGGCTTCCAAGAGTTGAGGGCGGCACAGGCTGTAGAAGGGGTACTGCACAGGCAGATCGTTTACGATGGACACTCGAACCCCGGGCTGAAGCTACCTTCAAGCTTGGCTGGTTGTAGCATCGACAAAAGTTTAGGGGGTGAGGAGGTTTCTGGTTTGGGCAACACTACAAGACATACCTATACACCCTAAGGTTTAAAGCCCCTGAAGCCGAAATCAATGACCTTACAACCTATGCTCTACTACTGTTTGTGCACCCCATGAACAACAACAACTACAACTACAACTACAACTACTACTACTACTACTACTACTACTACTACTACTACTACTACTACTACTACTACTACTACTACTCCTACTACAACTACAATATCATACTGCGATAGCTGCTACTACAACGACGACTACCAATACCGGATCTTGAAGTGCAGCAACTCCTCCAACACTGATATGTTGCAAAACCGCTTTCTACTGGCAGTGGTCGTGGTGGTGGTGGTGGTGGTGGCGGTGGAGGTGGTGGTGGTGGTGGTGGCGGTGGCGGTGGTGGTGGTGGTGGTGGTGGTGGTGGTGGCTTGTATTGTTGTCGGCAACACACGGCATCCCCAGCAGCCAGGAGCAATCCTCCAAAGCCGAAGGCTTGCAAACTTTGTGGGCAATGTTCTTGTCGAAGCTCGTTTTAATCACCTGCCAAATCGAGCGACTGGGCTCGTTCGGAGGTTGCCATCGCCTGGCAAACGTGAGCCGATCTTCGTGGGCTTGCTGGCCCTTGCCTTTCCCTTTGCCCTTGCCTTTCTTCGCCGGCTCAGCATCCTTTTTCGGCTTCTTGCATTTACCCGCTTCCTCGCAATCCTCGGCATCCTCCACTGACTGCTTTCCTCGCTTTTTGGGCTTATCGGCGGCTGGCGGCGAGGTCTTCATTGCATCCTTTTCGGCCTTGGGGTCTGCCTTTTTTCTTTGGAACCGGAGCCTCGGCAATATCGGCATCGGGTCGCTTCTTGCTCTCCTTGTCCTCGTCAGCCTCGCCACTCGCCGGCTTGGCTGTCGCTTTCGCCTTGGCTTTCGCCTTTCCTTTCGGCTGTGCTTTCGCTTTCGCCTTTCCTTTCGGCTGTGCTTTCGCCTTTGCTTTCGCCTTTCCTTTCGGCTGTGCTTTCGCCTTTCCTTTCGCCTTTGCTTTCGCCTTTGCTTTGCCTTTCGGCTTGGGCGGTGCGAGCTCACCCTTAAGCTCCGTTTGTGCCTGCCTCGACGTGATTTCCTGGTCGAGTGTACAAACTGACAATCTATGCGAGCTGATGACAAAAACTGAGGCTACACTATTCTTAGGTTCTTATCTCAAGAAATTGTTTTACGGGTTGGTGATATGCAATTATGGGATTTGAAACTTCAGAGGCCTTAAAACTACTTTCAGGGTTTAGGGTTTAGGGCTAGGGTTTCGGCGCTGACACGTGGGGGTGTAGGGTTTAGGGTTTAGGTGAAGCTTTAGCTGGATTTTTGTAATTTGGGCATAAGATAGAAGGTCGAAGCCACCTTGCACTCCAGAAGATCAGGCGACCCGACTTCGCTGGGCACGGTGGCGGCCTTCCTGGAGCCTCCTGTCTTAGGGGAATCCTTGGCGAGGTCTGGAACATCCTTCAAAGGTTCGGGGCTTCTTGCTTCAGCGGAGTCAACGGCGGGAGCTGCAGGTGCATCTGTTGCAACATCCAGGGCCTCATTCGAGATCGGGGCAGCTAGGGCTACGGCATCATTCGGGGTCTCGGTGGCTCGGGTATTGATCGGGATATCCTTGGCTAGGGGATCGCTCGTGGTCTGCACGGCTTCGGCATCACTCGGGGTCTCGGCCGGGGCACTGGCCTCATCCGAGGCAATGGCCCCATGTGCATGCTCGCGCTCCGGCAAGCGGCTGGCTGCATTCAGTCTCTGCAAACCCGGCTTTGCATCTGCGATGTCCTGCAGCTCCTGTGGGGCTGGTTCTGCCTGTGCATCGAAACTTTCATCAGGATGCCGATTCCACTCTATCGTCTGCTGCGTGTCCATATGAGCAACACCTAAGCTGATTGAATATTGCCTGTGCTTGGGTCTTTATGAACCATGAGTCATGATAAGAGAACTCTGCAACTGAGGCACTGTTCCATCGCTGCACAGTCAGCTGGCCGTTCAAGGCAGCTCTGCGATGGGCCAGTCTTTGACTCGGCTGCTTGGCATAATTCGCTGGGCAAATCATAGATCGATTTGAAAGACAACAACATCAATGCACATGTGTGCTCCTATAGACACTCTGATGTATTACGACAAGATGCTCAATCTCAGCCAGCTGTTTCAGTGCCCACATAAGCAGATGCAGGCTCGGGTGAGTTGACACCCAAGTCCTCAGCCAGATAAGGATCAACCGGCTGCAGCCGATCCTCATCTTCATCCGGCTCGGTCATCGCCTCTTCATCCTCCTGAACATAAAACCCAACCTCAGAATACCCTCTACTCTAGACCCTGAAACCCTATGCGTGAAGCCCTCCCGGTCCCTATCGATATCTCGTTCAGCTCCTCACCCTTCTCCAGAACACAAAACTCCTAAAGAATAGTACACCCCTAACCCCTTAATGAACTTGCTTAACTGTTGCACCCGAAATGATCGCGAAACCAAAGCCGTATGCGTGAACATTCTGTGCCTCGAGCTTGTCCTGTCTAGCTAATAATTTCTGTCTTCATTAATAACCGAATCCCAAGCCCTCCCCAACCCCCAACCCTTTACCTAAACCTAAACACTAGAAAACCCTGTCACTTTATTTGCTGCAGAAATCCAGTCCAGAACCTGACCCCCTCACCCCACAAACTTCTTCATCAAAGAATCCGAATCCCAAGCCCTGCCCAACCCCCGACCCTAAAACCCTTGACCTAAACCCAAGCACTAGAATCCCTTTCATATTCTCTGCGGAAACCCAGCACCTGACACCTGACTTCCTCATCCCACCTACCAAACCCAAACCCGTGCCTCTACATCAGCTTCTGCATCATCGTCCGAAGCTTCCTCTTCATCCGGAACCAAGTTTTTCTTGCTTCGGGGCTTAGGCGGCCAGTACTTCGTGAGCTCGTCGAACAGTGCTCGGAGGCGATTGTCCTGAGAAGTGATAAGTCGACTTTGGTTCGGGTCTAATGCACCATAGCTTCATTCAGTCCTGTACAATGCAGAAAAGAATCCTTGCGGGTGCTGCCATCATGCCGGCGGTTCATAAAGGTAAGGAACATCTTCAGCGAATGGCTCTCACAGTGAACAAGGCCCGATTTGGGGGTCACTTCAATCTCCTCGTAGAACTTCTGAACCTAGAAATGCCAGGGGTTATGAGGGTGCTGCAATGTTCCACGGCAATACTTCACCCGAATAAAAAGAAGAACAAGCCCGATGTGTGCACCCAAGCAGCCTCGGGCTTCACGTCGTCGACTGGAACTGTCTTGCTCGGCGGCGAGTCGGGACAGTAAATATTGATCAAATGAAGAATAACCTTCCAGTTTTCCTTCAAGCTGTTGAACCCTATCAGACCAACCTTGGTAGGGTCCTTCCACTGAAGCAAACACTTCCTCTTCCTCGATCCCTTTCTCACATCCTTCTCATTCTCCCAGGCCTGTGCTAACCCCGAAAGATCAGCAACCCTCCTCCTCCTACTTCTCTTCGGAGGCGGCGTCGTCGGCACGTGGATGTCAGCCATGACGTGTCAGTCCTACTTGAGACTGCTTCAGCAGAAAAAGCCTGCCGAGGTTGCATCTGCTTCACGCACAATTGCAATAATGCGACTCCCAAAACCCTTCAGCCCTAAGCCCTGTGCCTATAAAACATCTATTAACTTAGCCCGTAAGTTTTAGAACCTCAGCGAATGTAACGAGCTACTAAAATCTCAATCCCAAGCCCCCCTAAACCTCGGAACTCAAACCCTGCATAAGAGCACAGAGGGGCGGCTGCATGCGGGGCACTAGCTGATCTTGCCCTCGCCGAGCCACCTGTCCGGAGAACAAACAAAGGAAATATTCTATGCCTAG